GTGATGAATTACAATAACTGGTATGTTCAAGTCCAATATCAGAAATGGCAGCAATATTTATTTTATATATAAGTATGTATATATATATATATGTCCTTTACCGATATCCCACGAGACCAGTGAAAAATGTTCATAATTATATATGTGTGTGTGTGGTGCATATATTTTTTTTGGGGTATCGTGTCAATACTCATTAAGCAGGATCTTGTTAAGGTGACGGGCGCTGTTAACTGCACACGAGACACAGTCGCAGATTTTGTGTCTAAAGACAACTGCCATTGTATTTTGGGCTACTTTCATACATTTATTAATTTTATAATATACTAAAATATCATTATTTTTTGAATACTGTTATTTATTTTCATGAATTATTATTTTTTTACATCATGCTAATTAATAAAATTAATAATAATAAATTATAATTGTAATTAAATAATCAAATACTAGATTTATTTTTCTTCAAGTGACGAAAAATAAATTTATGTAAAATGGATGATGGGTAGTTTCCAGTTTCGCACGTTTTAAAAATTGGAGAAACTGTCGGTTAAGACTACGGGGAAATAGTCAGGGACCTTACTAAAATATAGTTGACGTAGATTCTTCGTTCAACTACATCGCCACACTTTCCTAAATAATAAGGGACTGTTTGGTTATTAATTTCAATTTGTAAGCTAAAATCAAATCTTCCTGGCCTCCGTTTAAAAAAAAAAAATCTTGATGATTTTATTTCCCAATTTAATTTTCTTTTTAATTGAGGGAACAGTATCAAATATTATCAAACACACGTTTTCTTTTTTAAAAAAAAATAATAAAATAAAAATATCCCTGCGGAGCTTGCGTATCACGTGCATTAATTATTATAAAAATATTAAATTCATATATAATTAAAAAGTAATAAAGCCAAATACTACTCCCATGTATAAAACCAGAACCTCTGCTTTTAATCTTTTGTTGTGAGTCTCTGAGTTTATACTTTCTTCTCTCCCAGCTTCTGTTTCTTCCTTTATCGCCAAGAAATACCAGAAAATTGAGCAAGAGGAAACCCCAATACCCCCCCTCTTTATTAACCCACTTCAATCGTTTACTCCCAAATCTGCAACTCGAGGGAATTTACTCTTTGATCGCTGCAATGGATTGGGTTCGAGGAGAAACCATCGGCTATGGAAGCTTTTCTACCGTCAGTTTGGCAAAAGTCACAAGAAATTGCGACAGATTTCCGCCGTTGATGGCCGTAAAATCATCCGACTCGGTCGACTCCGCATTACTCAAGAACGAGAAAGAAATCTTGGAACAACTTGGGAATTGCCCGCAAGTCATTAGCTGCTTCGGAGACGATTGCACGACCGGCAAGGGAGACAACTTGTACAATCTTTTCTTGGAATACGCAAAAGGTGGCAGTTTATCCGATCGTCTCAAGAAATCCGGCAGCGGGTTGCCGGAATCAGACGTCCGGCGCTACACAAGGGCGATACTCAAAGGGCTTCGTCATATACACGCCAAGGGTTTCGCTCACTGCGACGTAAAGCTCGACAATATATTGATGTTCGACGACGGCAAGATCAAGATTGCCGACTTTGGGCTCGCGAAGAAAACAGAGCAAGAACAGAGTCATCGACATCAGGAGAACGAAGACAGTTCAGACAGCGGCGTTACGATTAGAGGGACTCCTTTATACATGGCGCCGGAATCGGTTAACGACAATGAGTATGATTCGCCGGCGGATATATGGGCGCTTGGGTGCGCTGTTGCTGAGATGGTGACTTCAAAACCGGCGTGGAAATGCGAAGACAGAACGAATATCATGGCGCTTTTGATTCGTATCGGTGTCGGTGATGAACTGCCGAGTATTCCCGACGAGTTGTCCGAAGAAGGAAAAGATTTCCTCGGCAAGTGTTTCGTCAAGGATCCGAAGAAGCGATGCTCGGCACAGATACTTCTGAGCCATCCATTTGTTGCCGTCGATTTTGACGATGATGATCAAGATGATTCCTCTGTTCCATTGGTTTGCAGCGAGGAACTCTCGACATCACCCAGGAGTCCTTTTGATTTCCCTGATTGGATTTCTGTAAACTCATCGATTTCTGGATCACTTCCCGCTCAGTCTCCTCTGTCCAATTTAGGAAATTCAAGGTTTGGTTTATCGTTTTCTTCAGGTTTCGAGTCAATGAAGAACAGAGTAAAGCAGCTGGTGACTGATCAGAGATCGGATTGGTCAGTTTCCGGGAGTTGGGTGACTGTCAGGTGCGAGAATTCGTGAAGTGCGGAGAATTTTCTTCCATCGATTCAATGGTCATGATTGATTCAATTTTGTCTGTAATTTGATTTGGGGTGTATATAATTGGGATAGCCATTAACGGAGATTTGTAGGTCGCTGACATTAGTTCTAGTGATCAGTCTTGATTTGGTCGCTCGGGTGGCCAGCGTGTACAGAACCAATTTTTTAATTCAAAGATATTCATGACACTGTTATTAACACTAATTAATCCAGTTTTATTCTCTTCCACAAATGTTTGCTAATTACTGGGGGGAGTTTGTGAATAGCTTGCTTTGGAGCGAGAGGGAGAAATTTACTGTTGAATGAAAATAGAAAAAACCCAATTGACAAATCCGAAATTCTGGGTGTTGAATGCTTTGAACCTGCAAATGGATCCTCTGTTTAAAGTCACGAGCAGTGTCATCTTGGCTCAACCATGGAGTAGAATCGATTAAATTAATCTGTTCTTTTTTAAAATTTTGGTTTTGAAATAAGCATGCGGTGTTTTGGATATTTCACCAAACAATAATAATAATAATAATAATGAAGAAATGAAGAGGTAAACACCAAGCCTGCCAAGAACAAAAGGCAAAAAGAAGAGCAGCCCTTGGGAGATTGAACGAGTCAAAAAACAGAGGCACAGGTTCAATTTCTCATCTTCGTGCATGAATAACAAGAATTGCTGAATTGACTGAAACCTGTAGTATTCGTATCACCAAATTGATTTCGCATTTTTATTTGAAAGGCAGGTGAGTCAACATCAATTTCATCATCATCTATACTATATTATACTAAATGGTATATATATATATATATATATATACACACACGTATATATAGCGTTGAAAATGTAGGGGGTAGATACGACTGTTTTGGGCGTAAATCAGAACGTTTAAAACGAGTTTCTCATTTTTTTGGGTGAAGTCCTGCGGGTGAGAAAAAAGATTACACGTTCAAATTTCTTCTGATTCACGTATATACGGACCACACTTGTGTTTATTTGTATCTCCTTATTACAAATAAAACGATGACGTTTTAATATTGGGCTGCCCGTACTGGGCTTTCTATATATCTTAATCGAAAATAATAATAATAAGTTTATTTTTAGATAAAATTATTCAATATTCTATAATTATATAATAAATATCCACAGTGTATAATTCAAGTGGATCATTTTTGCGTTTGGCTCAAAAGGAATGTGTGTAAAAGAACTAGACTAAAATTAAGACGTAAATAATTACATTAGTTTATAATTCTCGCCTTATAATTTATTAATGTAATATATATCATTCCCATCGAATAAGAACAAAAAAAAAAAAGCAGTACGTTAAATGAGTCAGAATTGAAAATAAATAAGCAAATTAAAGCTAATAACCCTCATGATTAATACAAATTGCAACACATAATTTATGTAATTAACGGAATCTATGGGATGGTTTTGATAGATTTATGATGGTAATTAACTTAGATCTTTTAATTACATATAATAAAAAAAGATTGAACCACCACCCTAATCTAAATCTCCAAATCTTCTAAAAGTTACGGCTAATAATTGAAGGAGACAAGCACCGACCGAATTTCGTATAGATCCCAACTCTTCTTATTATATATGTAACTACCGACCAAACCCTTAATTTACAATCTCACAACCGCGATCTGAAATCCTCCGCCAATTTTTAATTTTCTGAAATATGTTTTTATTTATGCTACCAAAAAAAATATATATATATATATATGTATTGGAAAATATGATAAATATAATAACAAAAATTAAAAATAATATAATAATATAAAATTGATTTGCTTTGTCTTGGAATTTATAATCAAAAATCGGCTGATCAAACAAAACGACCCTTTTGAATTTCCTGCTTTTTCTTCTTCTCTGATACGTTTAGTTGTAAGTGCACTTGTTCTTTAATGGAATGGCCACGTTCATCTTCTTCGGGTTCATGGTGACGAAGCACTCGACTCTTTTGTAGAACTTGGGCTTCACCAGTCTGCCCAACACGTACGCTCTCGACCGAACCATGAAGCTGAGTTTCAGGGGCACTGGGTCGACCGGTACGCCGTTGATGCTCCCCAGGTTAGCTCCTCCGCCGTATAATGGTATATGGCTTCCTTTCACCGTCACTGTAATCGATCTCTGGCTTTTCCTCGACTGGTAAAATCTGTTTATCTGCAAAAGAACCCAACTCTGTTTTAATCGCTAAATCGAAGTTGATTTTACCGCCATGATTCAAGAACGGTGGATTGAATAAAGGAATTTCACAATGGGAGAGATGGGTTACTTACGGCGCCAGTGGCGACGGTGAGTTGAGAGTAGGAGAGATCTAGAGGTGTCGATGTGACATGGACGCCGAAGAATGTGGCCGTGTTTCGGAATTTCAGCTTAACACTGCAGTTCATGGACACCATTTCTGTAGCGACTCCTGATGAATCCGCACCGGCTTGGATCACGAATCGATCAAAAAGAATGCTCTTTAACCAAAACAATGAATACCCATTTCAAAAAAATGATGGATAAATCTGACCTCAAACTTGTTTCATTATCAGTTTAGATTTGAGGTTACCTTCATGGTGATGGCGGGTTTTTGAGGCCGACTAGCACCCCATAGAATGAGAGAAAACAGGGAGAAGAGGACAATGAAGCCAAGGACAAATGCGAGAAAGTAGGAACGACGAGAGAGAACATGAGATGCGCCATCATCGTCGAGCAGAGCCTCCTCTTCAATGGCGTCAAACTCCTTCCAGGGCTTGCGACCGGCTTTGTGGTGATGGGAGTCGTGCTTGTTGCGGTGCGGCTTGAGGGAGGCAGAGAGACGAGTCGAGGAGGATTCGCGTGAGGAGTGAGGGCCCAAGGAGGAGTTGGAGTGAGAATGGGGAGGGGAGCCCATGGGGCTGAGTACCGGAGTAGAGTGGAAGGAGTTGGTCGTCTTCTCGCCATCGTGGGAATCTCTTGAAGGGCTCTGAACGTAGTAGACTTGCCGGCGAGGAGATCTCGTTGGCGACGACTGAGTGAGGCTGCTGACCTCCGAGTCTGTTTTGGAGAGATGAGCCGACATTGTTGAGAATCTGTGTAGCTACTGGTAATGGCAGAAGATGGAGAGCGAGAGGGAGGAAGAAGAGTTTGTTGACCTGATTGATTTTCTTGGCTCGGGAGAGAGCATTTTTTTAAGTATGTGAGATCTGTAAAACGTACGTTTTGGCGTTTGCACGTGGGGAAGTTGTGTCTATTTTCGTTTAAGGTAATTAATGAGAGGAGGTGGGCAAACTTAGCTGTCTGTATTTATTTACTGTATTGATTTATAAATGGTCAAATTTTGATTTAGAGAATGGCCAATTTCTTAACCCTTTGAAAGTATGGAAGGAATCATCTTGTTCAGTTAATTAAGGTGTCTCATCTTCCCAAATCAATGGCAGGTTCTGACTCTACTGGTATAATAAGGTGTAACCTGAAACCATTTAGGAAATACAAAGATTAAGTTGACTGACTTAACTTTCATTTCTTTGTTTAATTTACTAAATTCCTTCATTTGGCGCAATTATTCATTTTATTAACATAATTAAACACAATTATAAACATTAAGTATTCAATTAAATATCATTTGCTTCAACAATTTTTTTGAGAGTAAATTTTGGTGTTAATCAGCATTGACTGAGCTTGGCGTGAATTGCAATGGTGTGATGAGAGGGAGCATGGGGTCTGGCTGGTTATGGCATGTACCACAAGTACATCTAGACTCTCAAGGCCCCATCTTTGATTTCCATAAACATACAAATCTCCTTTTGAAAATTCTACACTAAACACATCTCTGATTTTGATTTTAACTAGGGTCCAGTTTTCGTAAATTTTGCAATCAAAGATCCATAAATGAAGCTCTCAGATCTGCCATTGTTTTCTTGTTTACCTGCATGGGAATCAAGAATTGACATAAATCTTAAAACCTCTTTTTTTAAAAAAAAAAAAAATAAGTTATTTTTCCACAGTTGAAGGGATATGCTATTCTGGATCTACTTGATTTTCTGACTATTATGTTAAATTAAGTCTGGTGGTAGATGGAAGAAGATGCTGGCTCACTACCACCTAACCCAAAATAACTAATTGTCAAAGGATAAATAAGTTCTATGCTGATGCTAATGCTAATTTATCATTCGGTATGGTGAACTCATTGATGGTAATTCAAGTCTAGGATGGGTTCAAGCAACCATAAATATAAATCATATAATTCAAGTCTAATGACGGGTTCGAATGATCATAATGATATTCTTAATCTAATAAAAAGAATTTGCAGTTTGGAATGGTTTTCTGCAGGTTGACCACGAATCGGAGCAGAGTCTAATGTCCTGCCAGTAGATGATGATTATGAGAAATAAATTGAAGATAAGGATTCATAGAAGCTTTAAAGAAAAAAAAAATTGTGAAATTGCAGAAAGTTCAGTGGGAAAAATGACTCCATTCTGCCAGCTTTTCAACTGTGATCTCCTTGAAGGCCCTCTAAATGGCTGTGTTCAGTCCTAAACAATGAATGCAAACATATTATTTAGATGAGAAATCGTATTTGTATAATCAAAATTGTTAGTGCAATTCGATCTTTTATCAGTATATCAATTCAATTAAATGTTTAAGTTAGTAATACCCATCAACGCATAGCTATTATAAATGTTTCTCCTTTTCTCCTTGTACCTAGTTCATATTTTTTTATTCATAAAGGGATTGCTTCTTATGGTTGAGTTCCAATTTTATATAAGCAACATCAAATTTAAATATCAACCGTGAAAGCTATCATATAATATCTTCATTGTAGCCCGGGGAAGCTGCCTGCTGATCCACATGCACTAGAATATGGGTTCTGCAGACAGCCATCCATTGACAGCAAGCAAGTTAATAGTATATATGTACATAAATACATAAACACATACATACACACATATATTTATCATAGAGCATCTCTAGCTTTTGGCCTGTTTTCTAGAAGCTGTCACTTTTCTTCTTCTGAGCATCAAATTAAACTATCCGGCATGCTTGGCAACCTTGTCCCAAGAATATGGTTGCCTCCCCTTCAAAGTAGAAATCAAAAATTTTTTATCCAAAGAAAGAATAACTACCTTATTATGATATATTTAAACCACAAATTACCTCAATATCTCATAGAAATTAGTAGTTATTTATCATCATATAACACAGTTATTATGTATACAATGATTATTGGCAGAATGACATTGGCTACAAACTAATTGCAGATGTATTTTACTGCTCTCTATGCATCCATGTAGACCAAAAACTTGGTAGAACATATCATATACAATCATGTATATTATATAATGAATTGTAATAAAAATATTTAATTTCTTGTTGAGTTAAAGCTGATCTGCTCTTAATTGTAAGGCATGAATCTGACAAATTGTAAGGGACGCGAAAATCTAGCAAACATCAATGGTTCTCCATTTAGACAGTGAGCGAGACATTTTCTCGTGGAACCAACAGTTAGAATTTGATAGAGGCTTATTAGTGATTTTTTGTTCTAATGTCACTACCTAATAGTTGCCAACTATATGAGATCGAGCAATACTAAACAATTCATTTTTTTCTCTATTCATTTTTGTTTTTTTCTGGGTAGAAATTTTTTTTGACTAGATATGATAGAAAATTTTGATTTCTTCTATGCAGTGGCAAAATGGTGGAAGGTATAGATAGAAGGTGAACTCTACTACAAACTGATACAAGAGGAGTATCAAGAAAATTCAAGGGACAAGCATAATAATAAAGATAGACTAGAAAAAATTAGAGATCAAGACGAAGAAATAGAATGAACAGAATAAATTTAATAACATAATAACTAGAAAAACAAACACGAAAAGATGATAGATTAAAGAACCTTAACAAAATGAATTATTTATTTATTTTCATTTATTCTCCTTTTCATGATAATTACTTAGTCTTTACATAGACATTAACTATAACTAATTAAAAATTATAAAAGAAATCTAAGTGAGCATAATTCCTACAATACTAACTATCTATATAAATACAAAACTAATATATTATGATGTCTAAATAAATTTAAACATAAATAATTTAAAAATATAAAATAATAGTAATTATTAAAAAGATTTAACTGAAAATTTGTTGCAAGAATAATTTCTTCTTATTTTGTATCTCTATGATGCCAGTACTACTGAAATGGGGGCTAAAATATTTGGCTTTAGTCAAAAAGGACACTAAAGGGCATTCTTCCATCCTAATCAAATAGCCTACATGCTGGTTTTGTAGAAATAATTGCATTTCTAGTATCCTTTATATAGTCCGAGATAGTTTTCTCAGCAAGCAAATCTATAAAGGCTGCTGGAAATGTGCTTCTGGAGTATAAATCTGATAAGTACTAGTCAGTAACAAAGAAAGCTCCTGAAACTCCATCAAAATTGACCTTTTCAACTTTGTTTCTCATGCCTAAATTATTTTTGCAGACAACGTAAGAGTAGAGAGCAAAAAAGCAAATTCAAGCAATCAGAGAAAAAACAGTAACATGGAGCAATTTTGTGAAGGTGACATTATCCTATAGCAAAGCAATCGAAGAAAGCATCAGTTACGGAAAAATCAGAAAATTGCAGTGGCATAAATTCAACAGATCTGCAGCGATCTGAGAGGCCAAAAAAGGCAACAAAAAGACCTGCAAAGCACCTGTCTAAAACTGACGGCAGTATTTTGGAAGATTAAAATTCTACAAAAGATCCTAATGCACAAATATATCACCGATATGTGTTACTTACCAAACTGAATTTACTTCACCAAAATAAGAAATCATCAATACAGGCCATGAAATCAAAACTTCTAACAATTTTGAGAAGTATACCAACTGATCCTTTATACTTACGCAACAAGCTAGGAAAGAAATAAAATTTGACAACAATTAATGAGAAGTTGCTAAGGAGGTTGCAGATGAAAGGAGAAACTGGCATTCCAACATTGATTTGTTTGCACACGAAAACCAAAGCAGGGTACGTTTGTGTATATATGTACCCTGTAAGTTAAGGATATAGTTCCAAGAAAAATGTTAACGGCAAGGGAATATAAAAGAAAAAAAAAGACAGAAAAGAGAAAGGGCAGTGAAATCATCAGTCTCTTTTGATATAATTATAATACTTTATTATCCAATGAGAGCCCAAATTTATGCCCTTAAGAGATTAATCTTGCACAAAGTTTGTGGCAACTATAGGACTACTCACGATATATTTGCCAGTGTTATCCACCCAACTCAAAAACCCATAGACCAAATCTTCTTTCAAGAATCTTGGGCCTTCCAGTCCAAGTCTGTAGCTTTGCTTCTCATACTTATGCTTGAACACCAGTCGTTGTGGCTCCACATTCACTTTCAGTCCCTTCATGCCAGTTATCTTGGCAGTATAACTCCTTCCTCCCTCAGCCATGTTTGTCACAGTCCTTAAGAATTCCAAAACTTTTCTATCTGATTGTGAATCTTTCTCATTAAAGTATGCAATAAAAGATGGGTAATTAAGATCCAAAGAGCCCTGTTGACAGCTGTGAGGGGACCCTGTAATGGTTCTGATTTGCTTCGATGTGAAATTCATTCCACAAAGAAGCTTTATGTAGTCCTCTGCTGCTGCATCGTAAACAAGTCCTGGATCAACTGCCTTGTTAGGATTAACGTGTCCAGCCCCGATATCTAGAGGGCTGGCTGGGCGGTTATTATTGAATGCATCTTTTATGGGAGTTAAAGTGTTATCTAGTGAATTAGCTGTGGTCATGAGGGCAGATCGAATTGCTGCAGGCTCCAATCAGGTGGATTCTTTTGATAACCGCTGCCACACCAGCCACATGAGTGTAGCCATAGATGTTCCCGATATAGTTGAAATTGTAAACAGAGCTGAGCCATTTCAGCACTGACTTTT